AGATGAGTGGTAAATCTCTGCCTTTTTAAATTTGCTGTAATTTGTTTGGAGCAAATTACTGTGCCTAGACATGCCTCTAGTATTCATAGAATGATAGAAAATTAGGGTTGGAAGGGACCTCAGGATGTCTTCCAGTCCAACCCCCTGTTCAAAGCAGAACCATCCCCAAGGTTTTGGCCAGCTGGGTCTTCAAAACCTCCAAAAATGGAGATTCCACAACCACTCTGCGTAACCTGTTCTAGTACTTTACTGCTGTCTTAATGAGAGAGGGTTTATTTCCTAATATCGAACATTAAACTTTCCTTGCTGCAATTTGAGACCATTGCTGCTTTTGTCACCTGTCACCACTGAAAACAGTTTAGCTCACGGGCTGGATATGGCCTACCGATTGATTGTATCCAGCCTGCAGCTGCCTCTATGGTGCTCTGAGGGCTGAGTCTTGCCTGCTTCCACCTGGGGCAGCCCAGCCTTTCCCAGCAAGACTGCTGGTGTGTCAGCTTCCTAGGTACCGCTTGGCTTCCCTCACCTCCAGTGGCTGCTTCTCCTCCTCCTCCTCCTCCTCCTCCTTCTGCCCCTGACATGTGGCTCCAGGCAGTAAATGGCATGGGGACATGGGCTGGGCAGGTGGGGAGGAAGCTACAGTCGGACGGTTCCACCCGCAGTGCACAGGGCTGGAGCTCTAGTTCCTGGCTGCCTTCTACCCACTCAGCTGCCTGGCGGGGCTGGATGGGTGCGGGTAGGAGTGTGGCATGGGCTGCCCCAGGTGTAAATGGGTAGGGTTCAGTCCCATGTGGAGTGCTGCAGGGGGAGCTGTGGGCAAGATGGGGTGGAGCCACATGTCAGGCAGGAGGAGGAGGAGAAGAAGCCACTGGAGATGGGGGAAGCCGAGCAGTACCCCACACCCACTGCTTACCCCCCCCTCCCCCCAGTATATGAGAGTAAGACTTCCTTTTGAGCTGTATGGCTATATGTGCTACTCGAAAAAGTGTAAAACAAGACAAATTATTTTTTGAAATAAAATTAAACTGTTATTGTAGGTGTTTGATTTTTAGTATATGACTTGTTTTTTATCTATAATTTGTTAAAACAATATCTTTGAAAGATTTTGTGTGGCTCACCCACACTCATTAAGTGCTGGATGCAGCACTCCAGATGTGGCCTCACCAGTGGTGAATAAAGGGGATAATCACTTCTCTCAGTCTGGTGGTAACATTTCTATTAATGCAACCCAGCATGCTGTTATCCTTCTTTGCAACAAGGGTACACTGTTGGCTTATATTCAGCTTCCTTTTTTCAGCTTATTTACTTTTGATCCTCAGGTCCTTTTCTGCAGAGCTGTTGTTTACCCAGTCGGTCCCCAGCCCGTACTGGTATATGGGATTTTTCCATCCTAAGTGAAGAACTTTGCCCTTGTCCTCATTGATCTTCATGAGATTTCTTTTTGGTCCAGTCCTCCAATTTGTCTAGGTCTCTCTGAATCCTAGCCCTACTCCCCAGTGTATCTCCTACTTTCCCCAGCTTGGTGTTATCTGCAGACTTGTTGAGGGTACATGCCATCCCTCTTGTTATTGAAGTAGATGCCTTGTTATTGGTGAAGATACTGAACAAAAACAGTCGACACTTTGGACACTCCACTTTATACTAGCTCTACTAGATGCTGAGTCGTTGACTACTACCCTTTGAAACTGATGATGACCCAGCCAGTTTTCTATCCATCTTACAGTCCATTCATTCAACCCAGCGTTCCTTAGCTTGCTTGCAAGAATGTTGTTAGAGACTGTATCAAAAGTCTTGCTAAAGTCGAGGTATATCATGTCCATTACACTCTCTGCATCCACAGAGCCAGTCATCTCATCACAGGAGATAATCATGTTGAGTGTGGATATAGTACAGAACCTTCAACAACAAAAGCATACTTGAACTAAAGTGATAAGATGGATCAGAAGTTCATATCGTTTGAGCTGAATTGATGAACTTAAAGCAAGAGACTAATATCTTTGCTGTTGGCCAGCTGTTAGAGGAGCATATCTTGCATATTCTTATTGCATATACTGTTGAATATATTCTGCCTTTATGTGCCACTGAAAGAGATATGAACTAATTAAGATCTCTTAAGATTTGCCTTGACTTTCTCACCATCTTTGCAAGGACCTGAATTTCAGCTGCTTATGGATCTGAATAGCAATATTGTGGGGTGTTAGGATCCCAGGGGGAAAGAAGAAGATCATTCATTTCAGTAATGCATTTCTAGGTTTCTAGGAATATGTAAGTGAATGAGGCTTGCCATAACAATTTGGAATCAGTAATATAAGTGAGGGGAGGAGAGAGAACAACCACAGCAGGAGTTAGGCATCTGGATGCCATTTTAGCTCTTGAGCCTGGTGCTTTATCCAGAATTATTTTGCACATATTTTTCCTTGAATAAAGTTGTATAGAAAACATAATTTGATTTTTTTTCGACATTCCACCAGGAAGAAACCCTTTCGCTGTCTCATATATCTAAGATCATGAAGTCCTTAAAGAGGAGTTAGATAACTTTCTGTAGAGGAATAAGAAAAATGCTAAGCAAATTAATAGTAGAAAGTATAAAGTCATGTTCCTAGGAGCTAATGCTGATCTGGGTGTCACAGATTGAAGGTGACAGAAGAAGAGATGCTTCCAGGTATTTTGATCAACCACAAAATTGCCATGACCTATTAGTATGGCTATGAAAAAAAGGCTAATACAATTCAAGGATGGGCTAAGTTAGGCATTTTTAGTAGAGACAGGGAAGTATTAGTCTGGCCGTTCAAGGAATTGGTAAACACCATTTAGAATATTGTGTATAATTCTGGTCACTTAAGTTCAAAAGATATGAATTTTAGAATGGATCAGGTGCAGTAAAGGGCTATTAGGATGAGACTCCATTAGGAGAATAGAGAACCTATTTTGTGAGTGGAGATTTGGCTTATTTATCCTGACAGTAGAAGTGTAGGGAGAGATTATGATTACTCTTTATAAATATATTCATATGCCTGAGAAGGAGATGAGCTATCTAAGTTATAGGACCAGATCAAGTGGGTACAAAGCAGTTGTGAACAAATTTAAACTGGAAACTAGAAGGATGAGCTAAGTTTTGAGGAACTCAGAGGAGGAACATTATGGAATGGACTTTAAAATAAAGTATTAGGTCGAGGAAACCTGAATGGCTTCAAGAAAGAGCTTGATAAATTTATAGAAGAGGTAGTATGATAGGATACGTTTGTTGTTGGAATAGTTAGCAGAATATGTAATATGTGGTTTCAGATGTTTGGTATTTCCGTGAGGGAGGCTGAAAAGGAACTTGATCTTGCTGTGGGTTGCTTGTATGCATGTAAGATATTTAGTAATCCCATGCTTCAAAGCTTCTGCTTGCTGGCCTATTACAGCCAGGAAGAATTCCTTTTTTCTCCCTGACAGAATGCCTTATTTAACTTTTAATAATTCTTCAAGGCTTTATACCTCTCAGTATATCTTTCACTGGTGTTTCTTGCTCATGTGATGATCAGGATAAAACCAGTTACCATATTTGGAGTCAGGAAGGAGTGCTTCTCCAGGTCATAATCCAGCCTGATTTTATTTTTTGCCATTTTCTCTATCAGGGGTGCTCAATCCTTGGCTTGTGGGCCAACTGAGCAGTGGCAGCCAGTTCAGGGCAGACCATAAAGCAGTGGCAGCCAGTTCAGGGCCAGGCCATGCTCCACCCCTGGCTGGATCAGGGCTGGGGTGCCCTGCAGTCCCTCAGTATGCCAGATTGTGCCCATCGGCCAGATATGGCTCATGGACAAACCAGGCAGTGCCCGTCAGACCTGTGGGACAAAAAAGGTTGAGCACCACTTTTCTACAGTATGGATTGTGATCCACTTCCTAGGGTCATATGAATGTCTTTTCTTTACCGTTGCAGTGCCCAAGGTAAAAGTGATGCCCTTGTCTATGAGTGTTTTGTGGTTGTGGTATACAGTGGACAGAGGTTTGGGGCATATGACAGCAGGGAAATGAGAGAACTCATTTTGATTGCTCAAGAGATCTCTTCAAGTCTACTCTTCGTAAGTGAAGTTTCAATCAGAGAATCTTATTCCAGCCTATTCAAGTCCCTGAAAAACCATTAATGCAATGGGTACATCTTTCTCTTCTTGTTTCTAGTGGCATGTTCTAAAGACTAAGATAAAGTTATGTTACAAAAGTAATGCTTCTTTGGGGACTTGACTGGGAGAAAATACTATGGTACATGGCCCCTTAGATACATAGTTGCAATTTACACACCCAGTAGTCAGGCAAAGAGCTGTTCCCTTGCATATTTGTGTTTCTTTGTTTTGGAAATGGGAATAATCTGACTGACCTTTGAAATACAACTTTGAGATTTATTGATGAAAATCAGAAACAGTAGAAAATAGAGCTGCTGGTGATATGTATGTATTCTCAGTTGCCAGTTTTCTAGTTTCAAGGTATTAGAATATCCTTCAGTGGAGTTGCCTCCATCTTTTCCATCCAAAAATTATCTCAATTTGAAAGACAAGATATTACAAGGAACAAAATACTATATTAGGAACAAAAGTTGTCTTAACCAAAAAAGTATTTTAAAATACATAATAATATGTATAGAGATAAATCATTTACATATGAGGTATAACAGAATTTGCACAATATTATTCTAAAGAACTGTATTTTGAAAGTGTTAAATTTCAAATATTCATTCCCTAGTGATAGATGTTTAACATGGTTCAGTTTCCATGGGAGATTTCACTCATCTGAATCCAATGGAATCAGCATTGTTCATTTGTAATGTGACCAAGGACTGCACCAAAAAATGTCAAGTGCCACCAACTAGCACTCTGTTCCTGTTGTTAATATTTAATGATTTTTTTTTTTTACATTCCTCTGCAGAATATTTTATTAATCAAGGGGAACTAATGCAAAGGAATTGAATTCCTTTTATGGATTTATGACTTTTGGGTTGCTTTTTTCCACTTGTGTTTTCTCAGCCATCATGTATGTAATGGGAGCACTTGGTCCTGCAGCAGGATATTTATTAGGAGGAGTCCTTATCGGTTTTTATGTTGATCCTAGAACGACTGTTTATATTGACCAGAGCGACCCTCGATTCATTGGAAACTGGTAAGAATCAGTCATTTTTTCAAAACTGCATGGGGTATCTTAGGTAATACAAGGTACTTGTTAGATTTCTTTAAAAATGAGGTCAGAGAAAAAAGAGAGTATCCAAGTGAGATTTTTATCCCCAGCAGTAATTTAGCAGGCAGTGTATGCTTGCTGTACAATTGCTATACCCAAACTCATATCATTAATTGGATGCAGTGGCACTAGCACTCTACTGCTACAGGACTCCCTCTGATTGGTACTGTTTTCTTCCCTATGTAAAGTACAGGAATGATGGGATGAAATACCATCATTCAATAATGCGGATCATGGTGGTAGCAGTGGTATGGGGGCCCTGCTGTCACATCAGGCAGGGTTGCATGGGAATCCAGAGCAGCACTCTGCTCAGGGACCACTTGGGAACATAGAAACCCCATTCTGCTCTTGTAAACTATGCAGACCTGAATAAACTAGCTATTTTTGTAATAGAAGATTACACTGATCTTCCTAGTTGATTATACTTCTTGACCCATTAGTTGATTATTTGTATACTCAAAGTTATTATATAGTCAGCATAGAAATTTAATATATTCTTCAAGTACAAATTCAGTACCAGAATGGATCTCCATTCTTGTATCCTTGTATCTTGTGTAATTAAGAATTATAGTTAAGAATTTGGATAGCTAACGATACAGATCATTAAGTTACTTGACCAAAAAGTGATGGGCATGTTGCAGTGCAACAGTCACCACTCTTTTAGCATTCATTAAATGGCATTTCTGAGCAAATTATAACTGGAAGAATTGTAATCTTGAAAACACTCCCTTCATTCGAAAAGTCTAGGACTGCGTATATATCAGGCTCTGAGAATCTGACTTTCCCAAAGTAGCTCATAAGTCTGACTTCAAATATCCATGGAAAGCCTCAAAGACAAGGACCTCTAAGGATTCAAAATCCATAGGGCTGGCTTGGTGCCTACAATTTGCTTCTGAGCTCCTGGTTGCCTTGGAGGTTCAAGTCAATAGGTGCTTCGATACCCTTGAAATTATGGAGTGTGTTTTAGTGCTGCTGGATCTTTGATGCATTTGATTTGTGATGCTCCACTCCAACTTGGAGATAAGGTGGAGTCTCCGTTTAAGCCCAAGAGAAAGCTTCAGTCAGTGGTTGAACACCACTACCACCACCACCTCTACCACCACTATGCCCATGGGAAGGTCATCTTGAACTTACCGCTGTCTACCATTCCTATAGTACCTTTTTGACTAGGCAAAGTCAAAGGGTTTTGGGCACAGCTTGAGATATTGTACAAATTGGTTAATCCTGTTGACTGTAGGATTGCAGTATATGCCAATCCCTGTGACCCCTGTCTCAGCAAATTATTCTTGGAAATTTCTTTTTCCACAGTGAATTAAAACCCTTAGGACAGGGTTGTTTAACTTATTGGACCCATTGGGCCAGATCCTAACTGCAGGCCAGAAAATCTACCCTCAGCAATGGGGCAGAAGCTTGTCAGCATAGCTGCTGGAACTGCTGCTTTGGCACAGCTCCATAACCCAGGGTGTTGTTGCTGCTTGACCCTCTTTTCTCCTGCCCCTGATTTAAGTTACAAATGTTGACTGAAGACTCTGAATTCAGCAGCAGGGACGGGGATGGAGGGGCAAGTGGCAGGGGCATTCACCCGAGTTCCAGAGCTGCACCTGTGCAACAGCTCAAGCACCTGTGCCACAGGCTGCAGTTTAGCCCCTCATGGGCCTCATACCACTCCCAGGCCACTAACTGGACAGTCCTTCCTTAAGAGTATTCACTCAGATTTATGTTTGTTAACCTATTCTGTGGAAGAGTTCTGTAAGGTTATGTGTTGCCAGAAGAGTCTTTTGATTTATGTTTGATTAAGTCCAAAATCTTCACAGTATTTTTAAGCATATTTGACCAGGACATATCAGAAATGGCAGCCAACCTCAAATCAGAAATTAACTTTTTTTTATTTATTTTTTTTGAAAGTTTTGTGCTTTATAGATTTCCGGATTTCTGTAACTGGAATAATTTCGAGACATGAATTCAGATTAAGCTTCGCAT